AGGGGCTGGGTTTGAACCCACCACCTCTGGTATATGTGGGCCAGCGCCCTACTCCTTTGAGCCACAGGTGCCGCCCATGCCGCCCAGCTATTTTTTTAGAGACTGGGTGTTGCTCTTGCTCAGGCTGGTCTCGAACTCCTAAGCTCAAGGGATCCGCCCACATCGGCCTCCCAGAGTGCTAGGATTACAGACACAAGCCACCACTATGGGCCTGTGACTGTTAAATGTTAACTAGGTTTCTGACAACTAAGTGCTGAGCGTATTATTATATAATGCTCAATACAGGGGTGGTGTCTAACCTGATAGGTGGTTGTACCTTGGATGCTAGATAGAATGTGACTCTTGGGATTTGAATCATACTGAAGGGCCCTTATCTGCTCATTCAAAAGGTAGTTGCTGAAGTCATTATAAACTTTATAATGTGAGATGTCCTCACCTCTTCTTGGTGTGTATAAAGGGAGCATGTACTTCTTCCTTGGCAAGCTGTAATCTCAACAAGATACCTCCCAGAGTAGGAACTGGAAGTGGGCTTGCCTGAGTCTGAGAGGCAGTGATGCGGCATATTAGAATCTTAGTGGGCTTTGTGGTCAGTGAGTCTGTTTTTCATTCCCAGCTCCGCAAGTGACTATGTGCCACCATGGGTAGGATCCCCCATCTCTCACAGGCCCGTATGCATAGGTGTGACATGGAGATGGCATTTGACCTGTTACCTGGGCTGGAGTTTGGAAGAAAGTAATGTCTTACATATGAGTTTGGTGTCTTTCAGTTACTGGGGAACTAACTGAGTTAATTTTTAAAAAAAGTTTAGGCTCAGCGCCTGTAGCTCAGCAGTTAGGGCGCCAGCCACATACACTGGGGCTAGCAGGTTTGAAACCGGCCCCAGCCTGCCAAACAACAGTGACAACCACAACAAAAAATAGCCATGCATTGTGGTGGGCACCTATAGTCCCAGCTACTTGGGAGAAGCTACTGAGGCCAAGAGAATCACTTAAGCCCAAGAGTTTGAAGTTGCTATGAACTATGACGCCATGGCACTCTATCAGGGCGACATAGTGAGACTCTGTCTCAAAAAAAAAAGTTTGGAGAAGTACTGCCACAGGAAGGCCCCAGAAGGGAGAGTAGAGAGCACCTAGGTGACAAACTCAGTGCATTCTGGCCTAGGTTACAAAAGAAAATTGCCTTCCCCTCCCTGGGGTGGCTTTGTTCTGCACAATTACCCAGCAATTATCTATCTCACTTCTATTTTAAAGTAGTCCCCAAGGTTTACCTCTAGCCCCAAAGATTGCAAGGTTTCTTTTTGGAAAGCCAACATTCATGATACCCTAGAGCAGCGGTTCTCAACCTGTGGGTCACAACCCACAGGAACTGTATTAAAGGGCCGCAGCATTAGGAAGGTTGAGAAACCACTGCCCTAGAGGTATCCTTCTGAGACATTGCTGGGCTGGGATTAATCCCACCCAGAAATGTTTGGGGGTTATCTTTGCCCGTTCATATCTTCCTGGCTTGCCATAGTACCTCACAGCCAGGGCCATAGATTGGGTAACTATTCTTGATCAAATGGGGACACTTGAGTGGGAGCCTGGTCTATTAAGAACTTTACCAAAAGCCCAGTCACTATTCCCACATTTGAGAAAGCAAACTCATCTTTCCAGTCTGATACCTGGATTCCTTGCCTATTGAGCCAGCCACATTATGTTTAGAAAGTCTGGCCCCTCATGGGTCTTCGACCTCGGCCAGGATAAACTCAAAATTTTAAGAAGCCCAGTAAGATGTCACATTTGGCAAGGAGGTAGTCTGTGAATAGTGCATGTTGGGGTCTAGTGTGTGGGTTTTTGTTACTGTTTTTTAATTGACTCTCGGTTACCTCCCTCTAAACAGACAGCTACAGACAGTTCTTCTAACTCCTCTCAGAAGAGGGAACAACCTACTCGGACAATCTCTTCTCCCACATCCTGTGAGCACCGGAGGATTTACACCCTGGGCCACATCCACGATCCGTATCCCACAGACCACTATCACCTCGATCAGGTGAGCAACATTCTCACCCCTCTGAGGTCATCAGGGGGACAGCTCTGATTCTATAACAGCCTTTCCCTCCTATTCAGCCACATTCCCTAAACTTAGGCCTCTTCTGTTCTCCAGCACTGCACCCCCACCCTATATTGAAGGTGATGGTGGTGGCAGCCCCTCAGCCTTACTCAAAGTTTCCCATGTGCCAGACACCTTGCCAAGCCTCCCGTATGCAGTATCTGGTTTAATTTTCAAATTACCCCCACAGGGCTAGTTGTCAAGATCCCTGGTTTATAGATGAGAAAGCTGAGGAGTAGAGAGATGGAGCACCTGGTGAGTCAAGATTCAAATCCAGGTCTGTCCCCACCCAGGCTGCTACGCTGCTTCCTGTGTTCCTCTGTCCAAAAGGCCTCCTGGCTTTGTGTGGAAGCACAGAGCCACAATCAAGACTAAGGAATGGGCTCGGCGCCTATAGCTCAACCGGCTAAGGCGCCAGCCACGTACACCTAAGGTGGCGGGTTCGAGTCCCCAGCCCGGACCCGCCAAACAACAATGACGGCTGCAACCAAAAAATGGCCAGGCGTTGTGGCGGGCGCCTGTAGTCCCAGCTACTTGGGAGG